GTAAGTTTTTCTGTTGTACTTTGGTGTATGCTTTTGGATAAATAGTTGTCGTTTTTGTTTTGTTTTTGTTGTTGGAATAATATTATTTGTTGTCTGTCTGTCTGTCTGTTTGTGTATTTGTCTGTCAATCTGATGGTTTGTTGGTTTGTCAGTCAGTTAGTCAGTCAGTCAGTCAGTCAGTCAGTCTGTCTGTCTGTCTGTCTGTCTGTCTGTCTGTCTGTCTGTCTGTCTGTCTGTCTGTCTGTCTGTCTGTGTGGGTGTTTGGCGAGTGCTCTGGTGTGGTTTGCTTCTTCTTTCCTATCAGGCATCTATTATCTTTATCTCCCCTCCTTCTTTTTTGTGTTTGTTACTCTCTTGATGCACCTCTAATCTTCGGCACTTAAAAACTGTCTGTCTGTCTGTCTGTCTGTCTGTCTGTCTGTCTGTCTGTCTGTCTGTCTGTCTGTCTGTCTGTCTGTCTGTCTGTCTGTCTCTCTTTCCTTCTTTCCCCTCCCTCTCTCTCCCTCCCTTTCTGCCTAAACAGTCTTGAATAGTCTTGGTGGATTATAATAGATGGAGTGATGAGAATGATGATGATTGTGATGATGAGAATTATGAGGAAAAGGATGAATAATGCTTTTCGACTTATTGTGACCCAAGTCTTATTCCGTCTTGGGTGTGACTGACTAGTCTCAAAATAAGCGCACCGTCGTTCAGAAAGTTCATCTCCATTTTACAGGAATGGCTGCCCTTTGACAGCCGTGCGTGGGTGGCTCAGCTGTTTATTTTGTTGTTCTTTGTTGTTTTTGTATAGGTCTTTTACAGGTCTCTATCCCGCCTTCTTGCTGTCAGTAGGGTACGGCGCTAATGCAGTGTTGCCATCATTGTCTAGTTGTGGTTCTTTTAACAAACAAACCAACGAAAGAGCCTCTTTTTTGTTTGTTTTTGGTCTACCGCATTATCTTTTCTTTGCGTTTGTCTTTCAGTTTAATTTCCCAATCACTGCTTTTACCTCTTGAAAAATGGTTTTAATTCTATGCCCCTTTCCCAATTCTTTTCCTAAATCATCTGCCCCTAATCTGGTTCCTTTTATTTTTGTTGCGTTACCCCCCCCCCTCCCCTTTCTTCACCTCCACTCCTTGTATTTAGCAGTTTTCCCGTGTCTGCTTTTTTCGTACTTATTTTCCCTTTTCCCTCCCTCACTCTCCCTTCTCACATGCATTTTTTGTTACCCATTTATATTTTCCAAATTTCTATTCTTCTTTCAGCCCTTTTTTCTTGATTATGTTTGCCCGTCCTTATTCTATGTATTTTTAGACTCTATTCCATACTTCATTCTTCGCTTTCATGGATTCCGGTTTCTTCTCAGGCTTTTTGCTATTTTTTTCGGAAAAGGGGACGGGGAGGTACAGACTGGGTAGGTTCTACCCTTTTCTCCTGCACTGTAATTTGTCTGCTGTCTTACCTTATTCCAGTTCCTAATGGCTGGATTTTTATGTCGATCAGTTCCTTTTTGTCAGTTGCAAACGTATAAGTAGACTCAAGTCTTTGACTTACTTTTTGTCCTCCGACTTTTCTTATTTTATATAATTTGTGCTTCTACTTTTACTCTTTACAAAAAACGTCCTTGTGTTGTATAATAGGACTGGCTTTTATCTCCAAAAGTATTATTTCTACCCAGTATCTTCTGTATGTAACTTCTCTTTCTCTCCTCTTCCTCTTCATCTTCCACGAAAAGAAGTTTTTTGTTTGTTCGTAGTTTTTTTTTCTTTTCATTTGTCTTTAGTGAATACGCGGCTGGGAGATGTCTTACAAATAGATGTAAATATTTTGCTTATTTAAAAAAAATTATTTTCAAAAACTTTTATCCTGCTGTGCTCGCCTTTTGAAATCAGTTGTATGAACTATATTTATAAACATGCATGTATATTTAAAGTTTGGCAACATGACTAAACGCTTTATATTTTTTTCTGGTTTTGAGAAAAACGAAGATTTCTATTTTTCACCTGTTTACTGGATATGCATGAGCATCTTTGCTTTTAGAGTAAACATGGTGTGAGGCTTGGTTGATGCTCGTTGTTTGAAGAAATCGGTATCAGATTCTTATCTTTTAAATGGTATTGATGAGATCTCCACACAATTCTGACAAAATGCGATAAAATATATCATAATATATTTTCTTTTTTTTGTTTTGCAAAAGGAGATCAATTCTATAGAATAAGACTAACTTTTTAAAACGCAGTCTTATGTTTGACCCAAAAATTGGTAATGATACCAGTTCTAAAAAAATTTCCTTCATAAGGCTAACGAAACCGACAAATTGGGCGATTTTGTAATGCTGTATCAATCAGCAAGTCAAGTACACCAATTTTAATCCCCTGCAGTCCATTATATTTTTATCTGAATAGCTGCTTTTGTTCAGCTTCAAACCATAATACAATGTCTAGATACTTTTAATTGAATAAATAAGGTCAACTTTTATAATAAAAAAACTTTGACACATTATTATATTATGACTTAGAAAATTTAGGAACGGAAAGAACTGCAGACAGGTTTTGTCGGCCACTAGCAAAGTCACGTGACCCGAGGAAATAACTTAATTGGCGCGATCTGTCAGCGATCTGTCACCGCTTTTGTTGTTACATTTTGTAAAAGGAAAAACATTGCTTACGAAGTGGTTTAGACAGGAATAATTGCGTTCTGGGGAAAAAGAAGCTGGCCCTGGAATGTGCCTCTCGTTTGTATTTACAGTGGAATAGTTTCGGCCCAACTTTAAAAATGGAGCTTGTCGCGTTTTGTCGCTTATAAAAGATATATATATATATATATATATATATATATATATATATATATATATATATATATATATATATATATATATATATATATATATATATATATTTGATATGTATATATATATATATGATATATACATAATATAATTATATAAATTGTGTGTGTTTGTGTGTGTTTGTGTGTGTATGTGTGTGTGTGTGTGTGCGTGTGTGTACCAGAAGTCGCTCCCCCCTCCCTTCCTAATGATGTGTCACCCGGGCCATTAGTATTGTTTCCTGTGAGTCACGCGTGCGATGACAGACCCAGCCACTGCTCGCGTGTGACGACTGATGGGTAAGGTCCTTAGGATCGATGTTTCTCTACGCAATAGGATTTACGCGCTCCATTTCTGAGGTGCCCCTATTGGTGGCTGGTCTGGAACCTTTTTGCACTCTGAGGCGTTTGGTTGTGTAATTTTGTTCTACCTTAATAATACTCGCTTACACGTTTGTAAGAACGTGCACTCACTTTTGTTGGATTTCCAGCAAACGTCTTAAACGATCGCTACGAAGAGTGTTTTATTAGATGCACTTTTATCGCCATTTAGCGTTCCGAATTAAAAGAACAAAGCAACAGTAATCTAGAATGAGGACGAAATGACGTAGTAAAAAGTTACATAAGATTCTTCAATAAAAGACTTTGCCTCTCCTTTATTAGATTATTATGTTGATGGATACACTGACATGGTTTATCGTCGAAAAGAATGAGCAAAATGATACTTTATAAAGTAGGAAATAATTGATTGAAAAGATTGTTGCTCGACAAAAGATTGTACGAGTAAGTTGGACGAGATATTTATGCTTTAGAACTTTCGAGGTCTGAACGTCGGAGGACCAGTGGACAGCGACTGTGCTTAGCGAATACACCGTCTTGATGATATTGATCACTTTATCGGTACTCCACGTTTTTTGTCGTGTCTTTGCAGCTTACGGACAAGTTACAACGATTAATAAAAAACCGACTCTCAATAGGCTTAGGACTACCGTGCTGGTATCAAATTCAAACATTCTACTTGTGCCAACTCCTCTTTATTGAAGGTAGTAAATAGGTTTTGTCCTTTTTACTGCTCAGCCTGGATACATGAATGAGGTCTCCTGGTTTTTTTCTTTAGTTGCTGTCCTATTTTTAGCTCGGTCTATTTCTGCTGAAGACGCAGGGGCATATTTATTTAAAAATAAGAAATCTTGTGTTTTGAATTAGCCGACAAAAACGGAAAAAAACTCAATTTCACGATGATTGGACAGAGTTCGAATCGAAATGCAACCCACCTCGTTCAGCTGTATTCGATACTGAAAGCGTTGACGCCAAAGTCGCTCTGTCCCCGGTGCAGCTCTGGATGCGATACAGACCGATGGGTACACGACCTCCTTGATAAGTGGGAGAACACGTTGTGTGGGATGTTGGAGGGCGCCATTGGTAGATCTTACATCTTTACTTTCCCTTCTCTTGTTTCTGTCTGTCTTTCTTACTTTTTCCCCAGCACTAAATGACCAATAATGTGTGGATGTGCTTCTCTTTACTCAAACAAACAAACAAACAAACTAGAGCCCGTTGTAAGCCCGTTTTGTAATCGCGCTCTATCAGAGAACCTATGCTTCTAATATGAATGCCATTCGGATTCCTCCACCACAGAATCGATACTTCTAATAATAATTGCCATTCTGATTAGAATGGCAGTTATCATTGGAATTGTCGATTCTGTGATAGAGCATGATTATAAAGTGGGGCAAAAAACGTTGGACCAATTACAGATGGGGAGCCGGAAGCAGTGGAGACACAGAAGCGCAACGACGCATGTTGACTTGTTAGCGCTTTGAGCTAGATTTGGACACATATTTCCGCCCTTAATTAACGTCTGCAAAGCACGAGTCTGCTGTTGCATGTTGATGTTGTCAAACGACGGGATGAAGAAGGAGTTCGCGGGGAGGGGGGTGGGGCTCGATGGGGATAGCTTGAGTACAGATTGAGATTAAAGTCATATATTATATGTATTTCCTTGTTCTGGTGTTTGAACGGTTTGCAAATAAATATGTGTGCGTCTGTCTGTGTGTGTCTATCTGTGTGTATGCTTGTATATGTGTGCTTGTGTATGTGCTTGTGTGTGGCGCGCGCCGCACGCGTGTGTCTGTGTGTGTGTGTGTGTTTAAAGGGACGGAATTTGCATTTCTGATATTCAGAGTCGCTTG